TTTTTTTCTCTGTATCCTGAATATCTTCTGAGTCAGCAGGATCGTTACATTTTCTGAAAACTCTTCTGTTCTTCCTCTTCAAGTCCTTCTTAATGTTTGCATTAAATTAGCTAAGAAAATAATTTATCATTCTTTTTTTCCCCGTTTCAAATAAACTAGATGGCTGTTGTCCCTCTGCCCCCCCCCCCCCCCCCTTTTTTTAATACTATCATGCTGTTTTCCTTCTCAGTAACAGCAATATTGATTCTTGTTTATTTGTGTTAAAGTGGCACTTAGGAATCCATGCCCTGTTTTGCCTGGTGTGTGTATAGCTTTGGTTGTGTGTTTTTTGCTTTGGCTCTTAAGTGTCTTTTCCTTTATGAACTGTAACCGATGCACAACCTGCTAAGGCAGGTGACGTTCTCTGCTCTGTAGAAGCAACCTGGTTAAATCAGTAGCGAAGCAGTTCAGTGCAGCAGTGTGGGAGGAATTTTGTACAGGTGTTGCCCATATGTGTTGGGTATATGCCTGGAAATAGGAAGGGTGATGGTAAATTTCTTCATCTGTCAGTATATCATTTTTCACAAGGGGTGGAATTTTTTTGAAGGCTTAGGGGAAGGACGACATTTGCTCAAGGTTCTTTCATTTTATTATTGTAAGATTTATAGCATTGCCGAGCCCCTTATTTGGACTGATCCCAGACCTGCCATCCCTCATGCATTTGGAGTGCAGAGCTCTCTTCCTCTATTTTTCCAGCTTGTACTCCAAAGGTGGAAAAAAAAGTCAGCATTTGAACTATTTTTTGAGGGGATAAGTTTGTTAGGTCCTTACTTTTAAATTAGAAAATAAGGAAGGTTTTAAGCAGACTTTGAGATTTCCATAGTTGTATTCTACATCCCATGATAGGTTTTCCAATTTTAGAGCGCTAACATATTTTCACTTGAATTTAACCACCTCACTTCCTGCCCTGTCAAAGTCGCTTTGTCTGCCTTAGTTCTCTGCCGCTCTAGCCTTAAAGCTATTACCTTTTGGCCTGGATCCACCCATGCTGACACTGAAACGAAGGCCCAACTGAAGAAAACATTCCAGGAACAGTTTATCCTTTGCTAGTTGATATAGATTCTCTAACGCAGGGTTGCTTTTTGGCTGTTCTTTCAGCACTGCTGAGGCCAAATGTCTTCCCAGACACGCTGAAATTCCTCAGCAGTTCACTTTCTTTTTACTACCCGAACAACTTTGGTAGATGGCCGTATGGGGAGAGGTGCTGTCATGTGCACTGGCTCTTGAGCCCTGTACTTCAGTACCTTGTGGAGTTAACTGGCAAGGTCTCTCCAAGTCTGACCTTTTCCTGGGGTATAGTTATTCCAGCATGCTTTATTCTGAATATCGAATCACAGAATACAGTTTTCTCTGTCTGGCATTATGGCTACTGCGGACAAAAGCAGTTTTTCATAATTTACATGTGTCTTCCAGAATGTCCCTTCTTAAAGGACGGAGGGCATCAATGTTGTCCATTCTTGTATCATACTTCTACCCTGTGTATTTTGTTGCAGGTACCTAATTAGGTGTGTTAAGTGCCAGTTCTCAGTAGCCGGTATCACTGAACCACTTATGCCACGTATAGGCAAAACAACAGATACCACTTTATGACAATCTGGTCATAAAGGGAAGGTATAATTTTTAACTTTTAAATGTTTAAATGACTGTGGACAAATTTGTGTCATTACGAAATGAGGCTCTGAGCTACAACGTTTCTAGGGCTGTCCTCCTCTCTCTTATTGTGTTCTGTAGCTTCAGGCACTGAACTGCAGCTTGTCCAGCCATTTGGTTCATATCCTGGTCTTCTTTCTCCTGGCTCAAAATTGTGCGTGTTTTGCTTTTTGCTGAATTCTGCTTTTGCACCTGTCATTTGTAGGCTGGCACAAGAACACACAGAGAGTCCTAAGAAGAACTGCTCTAAACGCACATTTGTGTTTCTTCTACCCCTCCCCCTGGTCTTCTCTCACTCCCTCCTACCCTGTCCCAAATTCCATTAATATTTACAGAACAAAAGTCAGTACTCCAGCATTAGCCTCAAATTCAGAATGAGATTTTTCTGGCTCTGTCTGCAGCTAATGTAGAAGACAACAGAGGTTAGAAATGCACCTTTTTTTTTTTTTTAGGGGGAAAAAAAAAGCGCCTTTTCATATCCAACATACTAGATGAATTGTGTTAGGTATAAATAGGCCTACAAAGTCCAGAGCATGTGTAAGAAAATACTATATGTACTGTTGTTGGAAGGCAGAGGAACATAAAGTTATTTGCTCATTGACTAAGTTACAAATTCCTCAGCTTTAATTTATATGAACTCATTTTCACCATTGTTCCTTCAAATTTTATGTAGGGAGAAAAGAATTCCTTTCTTCAACTTCCTGATTCATGTACAGAATAAGCAGTAAAATCAACGAGTGAAATGAAAAGATTTGCCAAACATGAAAAGAGAACCATGTTGTTAGTTACACACCAATAATGTATAAACTAAGCATTTCTAAGGAGCATTATATAAATAAACTTTTACCTTCAGTCCACCAGTGAAGTTTTGCAAATATAGATTTCGTAGGCAAACAGAAATTGGGAGAAAAGTATAGAGAATAAGGAATTTGGCTAATTTGCATTGTTTTATTTGACCCCAAACTAAGTATTTTATTTCATTTCTGTTGTTCAGTGCATAAAATGTGTTCATAGCCTTTATAAATTGACTTGAAAATAAAAAGCCAAAATCAAAAGATAAATATTTCCATTCTTCCAATTTGTTTGTATTTTAATGTTGTTTTATTTGTCAGAAAGTATTTGCTGACTTCCACTGTCGTCTGCGCTTGCACTTATTCCTCTGTGACCCCTTTCCATGAATGTTTCAAGACTTGCTTTTTCCTAGCCATGGGAAGGATGGCTGATGTCTGTTTCCAGTTTGCCTGGGGTTCTGGCTACTGGTGACCTCAGCTAGTTGCCAGCAGACAATTTTTTTTAACTATGTGAAGTAATTGGATTGTGTCCATCTTGTTGTGAGGCCAAGGGTTATTTCGAAGCATAGAAACTGATCTGCATTCTTTAAATGTAGGAGGAGTTCATCTGCACGTTCTGTGGAAGATGATTTGGCAAAGCAGGCTAGAGAAGCTGGCTCTGCAGCGTGTGTGCTGCTCTTCCTCTAAGGAATTGTGAGAACATATTTTAGCAAAGGATTCCTCAATCTATCAGATACCCCAAAATACATAGTCACAGAAAAAGTTGGTTGGTTTGTTTTTTTTTTCATTCAATATGGATTTATTCTTAAATTTCTGTTCTTCCAAGAAGATACCAATAGCCATCAGTCTGTCCTTTAGTCTCTATTTTTTTTGTTTGTTTGTTTAAGAAGGTTCTCTTATTTTTTTCTCTGCTCTCTGACAGTAGAATTGGGTTATCTCATTTTTCTGATGAACCGACGTTTTCCAGATAAATGAAAACGTAGGGGTTTATTTTTCAAAACTGAAACAGTTGGATTGCCTTTTTGTTTTACTGGGATAAGCATCCGTGATGCTCTGGGGAATGGAGAATGATCTAAAATAAGCCTAGCTGGTTTTTGTTGTTTATCTGTTTCTTTTTGCATCTGTCTTAGTATTTATTGCTACCATCTGCATTTCATTTCAGGTTGTCTAATGTCTTATTCTGCATGTTCTGCGCCTATTCTCTTTACATAGCCTTGGGCTGTTAATATCACCATTTGCCTACTAGAGATCCATTTCTATCTTTAACAAAATGAATTGCATTCATCTGTGTAATTCATTTCTAATGAATGCCTTGCTCCTCATTAAACGGTGATTTACCTTTGTTTCCCTTTCCTACACTGTCAACGCTAACCATTTTGAGGTCCTGTGGAGAGATGCTAATTTGAGAAAGCAAAAGTCAATGCAGCTAAGCACTCACTAATGCCATCCTCGTTGGCACTTTCAAAAATATTCGTGGGACACTTTGTGAAATACAGTTTGCAGGTGGATAAGAAGACTCAAAATGTTTTTCTTATTCATAAGCTTTCAATGTACAAAGACAACGCTTCAGAGTTTAGATGCATTTTGCCATGTCAGCATCTTGAACAGGTAGCCAAGCTTGTGAATCTTTTTAAGACCTTGTCTGCTCTGCAAGAATTTTATGGATCACAGGCACATTTGGGGTGACTGTACTCTTGACTCGCTGTCCCCTCTGCATCTTTTTAGGAATATTAAATATTTCAAACTTATTTTCAGATAATGTTTTGAAATACTTAATGTTGAGATATGTTAAAATGTTTCAGACTTGAAAATATTTTACATCAATTTTTATGAGATTCAAAGATTAATAAAACTATTTATTGGCTTTGTGAATCTGAAGGAAGAAGATAAGTACTATTAACTAATAAAATAGGGGTCGTATAGTAATTTTGTTACAGATTTGGTCCATATGTTACTTTTCTGTCATGCCCTTTCAACCTATCCTGCAGCATTCCCTTTTCCAGCCCTGCACTTTGCAGAACAGCAGAATCTGCTGTGTGTGCAAATAGATCTGTACTGCTGACAGATGATGGTTAGAGTACAGGATGAATTACCAAGTTTATTTTCACTTTAAACCTAAGCAGAGTTTGAACTGCAGCAACAGATTATGAATAAGAAAATATTGTTGGTAAACATAATTTAAAACAATACAGGTGGTTTTTAGAAAGTTGTTTTATTTACAGCATCTTTAACTCTTCTTTTAGCGATAGTACGAGCTACTTATTGATGCTTTTGATCACTCACGTGAATTTACCTTGGCATTTTACAACAGTTACTCTTGTGCTCAGCCAGATTGATCCCCTGTTGAAATTCTAGAATTGTCAGTGAGCATCAGTTGAGGTACACCATGGATTAGTCTGATCATAGTATTACGAGGGGATTGAAGCATGGGAGGTGTTTTTTTTTTTTAACTGGTCTTGCCTAAGTCATGCAGTATTTGGAAGTAAGAACACTGATTAATGTAACAAAATTTTATTTTTAATATACGTTTTAGAGGACAAAACTGACCTTGAGAACAGTGTGATGCAGAAGAAAATTAAAATCCCCAAACTCTCTCTCAATCACGTAGAAGAAGCTGGGGAGGTTACAGATTATGGGGAAGAAGATGTGGAGCTTAGACACAGTAAGGTACTGAAGTCTTTTCTTTTTTTTTTTTTTTTTACCCCCTTTTTTTTTTTTTTTTTTTTTTTTTTTTTTTTTTTTTTTTTTTGGAAGTGCTTGGGGCATATACAGACGTCATAGCTTAAGAATTCCAGGCCTGCTTTTGATCCCCTTAAAACACTGTTTGGTGAAATTGGGTCAAATTGGGGGGGGAGGGGGTGTACTGCTTTTCAAAACCTGATTTATGTGCAATTGAACATTTTCCTGTTTATACCGTCTGCACAGTTTAATTGCCATTTTGGGATTTTTGGAACAATGCTCTTCCACTTTGGCCCAGAATGCTTTAAAAGTCACTAGTTATGTGAATGTTGAGCAGCTGTTCTTGGTGGCACTTGTGACCTATTGCGCGTTGCTTGTTTGGTTTTGGAAGGGGTGCTCTGAGACTTCCCAACTACAGCAGTGAGTGAGCCGACAAATTGACAGGACTGCATCCCTCCATTATAACTGCCAGTTCCCTTTTTAGGTCCAGATGTCAGAAACCTGCTATGTAAATATATTTATTTTTTGATATCAATGATTTCTTTAAAAGTCTGCCAACCTTCAGAATAAAATACTGCTCTGTGGCTTCATGTGTTTTGCAGCTGCAAGAATGATACCAGTACGTTTCTTTATGGTGGGCCAGCATTTTTTTAATTTTTTTTTTTTTTTTGAACATGCATGAAGCAGGCATAACTTCAAATAATCTCATTTTCTGCCACATTACTCATGGATATTGTGGTATGGGAATTGATAGTGTCAGCTTCTTGTCTCTAACCTATGAGCTACATTTGCTTTCCTTGCAGTTGCTTGGAAGTTCAAATGCTTTTTCCGTATTTGGCCAATAAAACTTAGTGACTTTTACCTGTACTGTCACATTTTAATACCACTATCCAGGCCCTAGAAAAGAGGTCGTCTTTAATTTGTGGGTTTTGTGCAGATGGCCGAAGGTAAATTTCTGCTGAGAGTTCAAAGGACATGAAGCCTCTGCAATGCAGTACTAATACAGAAGGAATCAGTTGATCAGGAAGATGAGACTGGATGATATATTCTGTCTCCAACTTCTGTGTTTTCAATTCCCTTTCAGTGTTTGCTGATAGTGTTAACTCAGTCACTTGCATCAGGCAGTTGGGTGAATGTGCTAGAGGAATAGTCAGAGAAGGTTTTGTCTCCCAAAGTGTGGGAAGGACAAGCCTTCTGTTCACAAAACAGCTTGGTATGGTATGCTGCTTTCATCTCTGATGTCGTTACAGGTGACAAATATAGTATGTAGTTGATTCTTTCTCTTACCAGAAAATCAATTGCTGTTGGAAATCTAAATGTTAGGGGCAAACTTTAAAGGAAAAAAGATCCATATCCTTTTTTTTTTTTTAAAGAAATTAATTATCTTTGTATATGGAATCAAGTGACCTGTATACACACAACTTGCAAGTGTTGCACAACTGCAGAAAGAAAGGCCTCAGAAATTTGTATATGGGTTTAGCTGAATTATGCGTGCATGATAGTTATGATGTGTATCCAGAAGAATCTGTTAGGCAAAACATTTTTGCAGGCAGACTGTGCCTTGCTTTTTTTGGAAAACAAGAATATTAACGGTTCCCAAGTCTGTAGAATTTTAATTTGTACTACGTCTTGCTGCTTTCCTAATTTATTTATTTTTCATTGTAACATGCAGAGACAAGATGGGAGGAAACAAAGTGAAGGTACACACAAAAGCATTGAAGCAGTCGTTGCTCGGCTTGAAAAACAGAATGGGATGAGTCTCAGTAATACTTCCAGCCCTGAGGAGGCTTTTATGGAGACTTCAGAAAGCATGAACAACATGGACGATGCTGTAGTTCCTCGGATTCTGTATGAAGAATTGCTGAGGAGTTACCAACAGCAACAAGAAGAAATGAGACACATTCAACAGGAGCTTGAGAGAACGCGGAGACAGCTTGTGCAACAGGCGAAGAAGCTAAAGGAGTATGGGGCACTCGTGTCAGAAATGAAAGAGCTCAGAGACTTGAACAGGAGACTCCAGGATGTACTGCTTCTAAGACTAGGTAGTGGTAAGTGCCGGACTTAAATGGGACTAGTTTTAATGAATTTTGCAAGTGTGATCAATAGTAATGGAAACGTATTTGAAGAATAGCAGTGGTTGTTAAACTGGACATTGAATGTTAAAAGGGTTTTCTGCTATGGCTGTACAATATGTGTTGAATTTGTATGCTATGTACGTCTGGGTTTTTCTTTAATGATAGTAGAGGTCTTTGTGCTGGTATGGTTGAATCAGAGTTCCATTTTAAGCAGCTGTATTTTAAAGAGTCTCTGACCTTCCAGTATATGCTGAAAAAGATAATAAAGCGTCATCTGCAAAATATACCAATATCTTCCAGTTTAAAAAGAAAAGAAGAAAGAAAAGGCAGTGGAATTAATATTTGGGTTAAAACTATTTTATTCTTTTCAGTTAGGAATTTTGTTTATTGTTATGTAAGTGACTGTGTTGCTTTCCGTTTTCTTCCCCTTCCTCCCATTAGCAGCTCATTAGAATGTGATTTGTTCCTGAACTTCTTAGCAGTGGCTTTAAACAGCCGTGCTATTTGAAATACAATGGAATGTTAAAGAATAATGAAAAAAACTTTTTATATTAGTATCCCGTTTATCAACACTTGTTACAAAATGCAGGTTTGTGTAATTTGCATTTAAATTTTAAAAATCTTGAGTCAATTGCTCATTTGTTTTGGTTTATAACAATTATTTAAACATTATGTTGGAATAAATGGGAAAAAAGACAAAATAAAAAGTTCATCCTTTTCATTGAAGATGGTACCCTTGGAATACCTTCAAATATTTTACTAATTTATATCTGTTTGCTATTAGAATGTGGTACTGCTGTGTTGAAGATTTGCTCGGTGACTGAAACTTGGTTAAAATTTGTGCATCCAGACTTAGCATGCTGTTTCTTATGTCTGCCTTTGTGTATCTGGGAACTTAATTTTTGCATGTAAATTGGATATTGGCTCTTCTACTTGACTTGAACGAGTGCATGCGATTTGCATGTGGGTCTGAGTTATATTCACTACAAACCTGAACCCGAGAGAGCATGTGCCTGTGCTGTAGCATGTGTTAAGGTGTGCCGGCAAGTTTGGAGCCAGGTTCTCGAAGTAGCATCTGACAATTTAAACTGGGTGTTTGACTGTGAATGCTCATCATTGTTACACTGTGCATAATTAAAATGTCATTACTTATTATAAACATTCTAGATAACTTTTTAAATAAAACTAAATAGGCAAGGTTTCCACAGTCTGAAAAACACGATGTGGTTGGCAGTAGATTCCACTGAGCCTTCTAAAATTTTCCTTGGATGGAAAGATGTTTCTTCATCTGCAAGTAGTTAGCTGGAATTTATGTGAATGGAGCACCAGCCAGATGTTAGTAGGCAATGGGGCTGAACGGCGTAAAATACCAATTTAGTTGGTAGACTTGACAGCAGTTTGAGTGGTGAGACCAGCAATGAAATGAAGACAACTTCTGAATTCTGTCTCATTTCTTTCACTTTAAGAAAGAAGGGATGCATTTTTCACTTGAGCTGAATCAAGAAAGCTTAGAAGAAAAGGGAAAAAAGAAAAAAAAAAAAACCCACAACATCAAAAAACAAATCCTCTTGGAAAAAAATGCTGAATCTTCTCTAAACACTGGGCTTGAATTTCCATTGTATCAGTCTGGCATCTGCTTTACAACTGAAAATAAATCTTGATTACATTGAAGACAAGTTTTTTTTTTATTATTATTTTAAACACATACCTGGACAGATATGAATCATAGGTAACTTCCAAAAAAATCCCTTGTTGTTATTACTTGTATGGAACTTTTAATGGATGACAAAGGTAGAATTTGGCCCTACAGGCTGTGTCCTTCACTGGGTGTTTCCTAAGATTCAGTGTGTTAACTACTGATAACTCTATTGCATTTCCTTATAGCCTCATTCACAGTAGAGAAACAACCAGATTCTAGAAAGATCAGTATAAAATTTATGAATGATTGGAAAAGGAGGCATCTTCAGCAAATTATAAATTAGGAAGTCTGATGACAGTATGAAAAAGTGCTACTTTTAATCAAGAAACAGATATGTAAAGACTTCTTTAGTCTTCCTTACTTTTCCTGCTTATAAATGAAGTATGTTTGGGTACGTGAATAATCTGTGAAAATTGTTCAGAAAATAGATTACATCCCGAATTCATCTTCAGTTGCTGCAGTGATCTCTTAAACCTAGAGTTTCAAATTACATGTAATTTATGTTACGCTGCACTTCTAGCAGGCTGGACTTAATGCAAACTAATTGCATTTCTGTTTCACCTTAGAGACTTCTGATTTCTTTGCATGAGATGACAGCTGTTTTGTGCTGATGAATTGCAGCTGTGGGAAACGCGTGCCTGTTGCCATTTTAAACTTGCAGATCAAATATAGAACAGCCTCTTGAGCTAACATTCAGTCAAGTATTCGGTCTCCTAATTTCCCATCACTGTGTTGATTTCAGTGAGAAGCTAGAAGTCAATGTATTCTACTCTAGACTTAGGCCTTCATCTCTGCTACTAAACTTGAGCCACTCTCGTGGGAAGAGTGAGGTTCTTAATCCGTCACATGGTGACACTGAATTGCTCTTTGTTTTATAAGAGCCTTGAAAGCAGATGTGGGAAATGACAGTAGTGAAATCAGTACTGATCCATGGGGCTATATTGAAGCTTCTTTATGATTTTGGTACGCTGTTGCCCAACAGATCCCTTCCTGGAGGAGGTGGGCGTTTGACCAGGGCTCTAGGGACCAAAGCAGTTCAGGAACACGATGACTGTCATGGAAGGGGTTACAGTGTCCCTCATCTGAGATCCCTGAAGAATGCGGGCAGCCAAAACCTCTTTTCCCTTCCCTGCTTTGGGGTGAGGAAGCCCTGCGATCATAGACTCTTGCAGTTTATCTTCAGTGTGTTTTCAGGTGCAACTGAGCAATGTGCCCTGTTTTTATCAATAGAGACTAAGGTGATTTAGAGAATTAAATCACTGAGTCTTCCCTGTAGGACTAACTTTAAATAGTCCTTGGATTGCAAAAGATAAAAATTTCAATAACTTTTGAAAAAGTAGTTGTCTCCAGAGTAAGATCTGTGCAGATACTCTGGTTTTATACGGCCAGAAGTAGTGAAGTTGTATCAGGGGTAATGTTTGAGTGTTGTCTGGTCACTGATAAATTCTGTATTTTCATGTTGTATTGGTAAGAATTAGCGTTGCTCTGAAGTTGGGGAGTATATTTAACTTCATTCATTCATTCACATTCATTCCTCAACACGCACACAGCCCCCCAAGTGGTTATTTTTAATCCCAGTTTAATTTCAGTGATCCAGTTTACAGCATCTTGGGACTAACACCAGGATAGGGAGAATGAAATGGTATTTGTGTCTTACCACAGGTCAGGAATTGCTATTATTCAGGTTTTCTACATTTTGCTTTTGGATGTAAAAAAAAAAAAAACAAAAACAAAAAGTCCAAGGTTTCTATGATCCTAAAATACAGGGAGTACTATATATATAATAATTCCTCTTCTCAGATTCCTGTTGTTTTTGTTCAAATTCTGTTATGCCATGTGGAAAAACAGCTTGCTGCTTGTAAATGTATATTGACCACTTTATCAGTTAATTTCTTTCGGCTTATTTACTAATTTTTGAGTAGTGTGTAGCCCAAGATGCGTTTTTGAGGAAAAGAGGTGATGAAGGGAAGCCTTCTACCTCTTTGTCCAGCATGTGAAGTTGCTGGCCTCTCAGATGTTGTGGAAACTCTACAGTCAGAAGGAGAAAGATTTTGCAATAAAACATTTGTTTCCTTTTTGCATTCTGAAGAATTGTATTTTTATTTTTTTTATGATCCTACGTACTCAAGTGCCATCATTGTTAAGCCTTTAGATAGTGGCATATATTTTTGTATGTCCCATCCATCATCTTTAAAATAAGATGCAGAGCATGAGAGCTACAGAGAGGGGAAACTTTTAGAGTGCAGTGTGTGGTAAATTGGGCATACAGCTCCCATTAGCAATAAGGCAACAATGTGGGTTGCATGTCTAATTCGCAACACGCTGGGTTGAAAATGCAGTCTTTACTGCAACTCTACTAGTTGATGAAAGTAGCTATGAAGACTACGTAAAGGCAGATTTCTGTTTGGGAAGGACAAATGAGTAGAATATAAATGACGACGTTTGAAAGGCTTTCTGTTGGGTGACTCCTAAGCAAGCAGTAAATCCTGAATTGCAATAGAGGTTTTTCTGACCTGTTAGAGCTCTGGTTATTGTAGACTTTAATCAGCTGTTTTTCTTGGGGAACTCTGGAAACCAAATCCCACCTGTGTCAATGTATGACTAGAAACAAAACAGTAAAAGACTTCTAAATAGCAACTAGTAAAAGTGTTTAAATTGAGATAATAATTTCCTTCTAGGAAGAAGGTAGTTGTTCTTTGATGTCTTCCTCAAAGTGACTTTGAAAGTATAAGAGAACTCAAAATAGCACTTTGTTGAAGAATGTTCTTAAAGTAACAGCTAAAAGATCACTTCTTAAGTTCACACTGGCAATTACGTCGCTGTATCTGCTTGTTCAGGTGTGCCAACACTGAGATGTGTGCAGGCTTTGGGTGGCTTAATCAATCCAGGTCTTTCCCGCAGTCTGAATCAGTTTAGCATTCTCAAGCTTAGAAAGTTTAGTTTGTCTTGGTTGTACCATTTTATATGCATGATAGTAGAGGTGCTCATTAAGATTACTATGAAATTATAATACCAATTGTATGGCTTTTTGTGATGTCTCTATTTGCGCCATGCTTGGGTTGCATATGGCTCTTAAGACATTCTGTTGGTGGCACTTCAGTTTAGGGTCATCCGAGTTGCCAAGACAACTTTTAGTTGTTGTGGAGTGTCAAGTGGCAGTCAGCTGACAACATTTAGCTAGCTATGTAGGTGTAGAATAAACTATAGGATTGATGTCCAGTGCTGACAATGGAGGAAATGTTGCTATCACTGTATAATAATCAGTAAATCAAACTTCACAAAGGAGGAGGAATGAATACTATGCTTGTTCCAGGTACAGGAACTATTTAAAATACGTGACTCAAGACACGAGCTCTGGTGCCAGCTTGACTTGCTGAGTTAGATCAATTCAGGGCTTGGTCTGTGTGCGCAAACACTGCTGGGGGACGCTGAACCGTGACGGTGACCTGGTTATTAAATTGTCATTTGTTGAAGATGTCAAGGTTGGGCTACAGAGTGCTGCAGTGCTCTCAGCTCCAACCAGGTACAATATAGTTCTTACAAGTGGATGAGTCTATCCTTACAGTTCTTGGAAGTGGCTGATTACTGTGGTGTCCAGGGTCTGAGCTGGCAATCTTGCTGTGGTAACAAACCACCATCCCTGCGCGGAACTTCAGTGACTGCTGGAGCTTCTCGTGAGCCCAAAGACACATCAAGAGACAATGATAGGCTTGGGGCCGTAGCCTGTCCCTAGACTTCTGGTCTAACTGTTGCAATGAATGGAATATGAAATCCAGTTCACCAATTGTTTTGTTTTGTTCTTCTGTCTTTTTAGGAATGCTTTATAAATTTAATCTGGAAAAGAAAAGTTGATGACTGACAAAATAATTACCCTCCTTTGAAGCCTCAAACATATGCTTAATACTATTCTGGTTTTTAATCTGTGTTTAATTTTTGTTGATTACATTAAAAATAAAAATCAATGTGTTGGATGGATTGGACAATGAAAATTCTAATTTATGTGGGGTTTTTTAACCTTGGATACTCTTTCATGCATGATACTTTAGCATAAGTAGCCTAAGCCTGTTTCCTTTATAGCATTTCTGTAGATCCTCACTATTTTTAATATACCTCTGTTATATCTAAAGAGATTTCAAATTTCTAGAAAATTTGTAATTCTATATAGATAATTTATGTAATTATCACAGTAAATTACACAGGTTTCTATGCAACTATGTAGTAATTCTTATTTGAAGAATTACTATTGTTGCTTTTGGTTTATAATTTCAGTATCATTTTAACATAGTTTCTGTAGTGTGCATTGAAGCAATCTTACCCATATCTGTAATTGTCCATAAGCTTTAAGAATAAAATTAAACATTTAAATTAAACATTTTAATGTTTATAAAGCATTGACGTTCAGAAGTAGGATTTTGGTTTAGACTCTTTCTAACTTTAAAATGAACATGACTAATGTGTTGTTTTATGCTAACCATGAGTAATGAAGTGATTGATTTCATGTTCTCTGGGATAGCAGACAGCTCTCTTTTCTTAACTGTCTAGGACCTGCCATTGAGCTTGAAAAAGTAAAACCAGAAACAATTGAGCCTGAACCTGAGGTACAGAAGACCTTCAGTGAGGAAGCAAATACATCAACGTACTATCCTGCCCCTGTTCCAGTAATGGACAAGTATATTCTCGAGAATGGAAAGGTATTTTAAATTAAATATAGCATGAGTAATTTGTAAATGTCCATCAGGTGATTTTCTTGTGGAATTTTCATGGTCTCAGGGATTTTGCATGGTAGCAGCTTACACAAACTTCCTCAGTTTTTATAAAGGCATGCTGTTATGCTGAGGAAAACTAAGAAATTACACAAATAGGAACAGCTTAGAAAATTATCCTCAGTGATGAGAGCATTGAATGCTGTGCAACACAAGGAATATAATTATTACATATTCATGCACAAGCACATTGGCATAGTCTTCAATTGGTGACATACATAAATCCACCAAAGTCATTAACTCACATTATAAAGTTACATTGGTTTATTTAAAAGAAATGCTTTTTCCTAAAAGATCTTTAATGTTTTTCATATGCTGTAGTCATACTGGAGAGAAACCTTCATGTTTTGATTGAAATGGAGTCCAGTAGGTAATTGCGAACCCTGGAATAAAAATGGGCTCCCTTGAATCTGCTAATAGCATAGCCACTGAATTGAGCTGATGTAGTGCTACTTTCCAGGTACTTTTATAAAGTTGGTGAAATAACATCTAGCTACAGTTTGCCTCAACCTGACAGATAGTTTTTCAGACATGTTTAACGCATTGTCCGCTCATCTGCCAAGGCCTGCTTTGATAGCTGTTGCCGTTATCATTAAATGAACATTATATTTCTTTTACAAAACCATATGCCCTTCAGAATTGCCTTTGCAGATCCAGTTTCTTAGGATATGTATGCATTCGGTACCATAAGCTGAGAACTTCTTAGGAGGAAACATTTATTTCAGCTTTGGCATACAGCGTAATTACTGATGGAATAGCATGAAATATTACATTTTCAGATCCGTGTTACAAGATTGACTGCACAAGTATCTGTCGTTCTTGAAGTCAAATTTGACATAATTGTTGAGGGCAAAATGCATGTGAAAAATAGTATGATCTTGGCAGTTTGACAGATATTTGGTTCAGGTAGCTTTTCTTGCGTAATATATTTAACATATGTCATTTGCTTGTATATTTTGTGTATATTTGTGCAATGAAAACTTAGCATATATTACTGTGAGAGTTTGGTTCACTTTCTTTTTTTCCGCTTAAGGTCTGTGGGATAAGGCACATTCTTTAATATTTGTATGCAGCTTTTCCTGCACCTTTACTTCATCTGCCAGCTTCTTGGCACTTTGTTGCTGAAGTTTTCTCTGTCTTTATAGATATTAGTATCTCTTTAACTTCCTTTTTGTAATTTTGGTCTTTCTTTAATTTTGCCTATTTATTGGGCCTTCAGCCAGCTCAGATGCCAGAATTGTGAACTAATCATCTATTTAGAGTGTTGGAGAGTGTTTTTTCCAATTTTCCTTATTTATGCCTTTTTTTCGTTACTTCTTTATTGACATGCACCACTAGAGTAATTGAAATACTTTTTTAGAAATCTTGCCCTTTGTGGCATCAGATTTGATCTTAGTAGGATTCTTCCAAAGCAGATAAATCTCTCCTCTCCAGAGGGAGAACAGAGTTACTGAAAAAGAGCCTGTGGCATTCATTTAAAGAAAAGAAGAACTAAAAAAAAGAAAAAATAAGAGTTCATCTTCTGAGATACATTTTAGATATATTGCACATTAGCACAGTTATGGTGGTGAGCATTGCTGTGAATTTGCTGTTGTTTGTGTTATGTTGTGCTTGAAGTCGGATCCTGCATTTGCTGAAATTGGGGGTAAAGTTCCCATTGATTTCATCAAGCCAAGGATCTGGCCCATGGGGCAGCTCTTCCAGCAAGAAGGAAATGTCTTCTGAATCTGGAGCAGGGTACGCTTCCCGTAACTTTGGGAGTAATAGGAAACAGTACCGAGCCTGTTTTACAGAGAGGTAAACTGAGACATGGACAGATTAAATTCCTTGCCGTAGCAGTGCTAGAAATAGAAAAAGGGAGACATAAGATTTCTGTGTCTGTGGCTGTCTGTCACGTAGTTGCTGTTACCATAGGTGTTTCATACCAGTGATAACTTATTTTAATAAATGAAGCATATTCAAAGAAGAGATGATCTGTCTGAATCATAAATATTAAAAATATTTGCTGTAACTTGTTTTCTTTTAAATAACTTAAAGCTAATGAATAATGTAGTAGCTTAAGAGACTAAACAATCTTTAGCAAAGGCAAACCCTGATTTTGGCAGAGGGGAATCAGATTTTTGATCAAATACAGCAGTCTCTGCAACTAATGTCATACAGATATCCCAAATTTGGCATGTCACAACATTCCTAATCTTAGTCGTTTTCTAAGTAACTTACACTCCTTTTTACAGATAACTTTTCCAAGATCAAAACAGAAAAAAATGAATTATAACTGTAACATGATTGTTTTCTGAGCACAGACTGCTCGCTCTGATTGAAGTTGTCTTACAAAATGTGTAAAAAGCACCAAGAGTGTGATTTTTTTTTAAAGCAATTATGAAGAGGCTCAACAACAGAGAAGGAAGGAAAAAAAGGGGTGTTCATGTTATGCATATTACTAGTTCCATTTCTGTCCATTACAAAATCTAAATACCATGTGGACTTGTGAAAAGCTTCTTAGAATCCTTTTAATGTAGAAAATTTTGCAGGAGAGGCAGCTTGCTTTATAGTTTTATACTTTGAGGAAGTTAGACTTTTCATTTGTTTTTTATAAGGTAGCTGGTAGCCAAACCATTCATATTTTTCTACTTAAGCTTTTAAACAACTAGTTGCTTTTGAAGGATGCTGTTGTAATAAAAAAATTCTCCGGGTTATAGCCCTCATTAATAATTAAAGAAGGTTTCCATTTACAGGAAAAATGGTTTTGGGTTGAATACAGGCAGTAAAATTATGGGTATATAAAATTTTACAGTAGCTTTGTCCAATTTCATTGCATTTAATGGGACTTATGTGATACTGTTCAGATCTGTATGGGTAGCAGGCACAGTTTATGTAATGCCACATGAAAGGAGTAAAACCATGAAAACCTAAGAGTAAAACAGTTAAGGCAAACGGTCTCCTAATAAAGTTTTGCCATAGAATTTTGTTCACAGGATTTTTTTTTTTTAATTGTGAGGAGACAGTAAATTTTTATTAAAGTGTTAGCGTTACAGAAAGAACCTCCATTTGATCAGATTTTATGAAGTCTAAATTTTGGATATAACAGCCCAATTGATACATATTTTTGGTATTTTGCACTTTTACAGAATTATCTGGAAGTAAGTTCTATCTTCTTCCTTTCCAGTGCAGTGAACTCGTGTCAGTAATTAGAATAGCTAGGTCATGCGTTAGTTTGTCATGCATGATGAGCAAGTGTGGGTCCAACCAAACGAAGTTCATCACCATGTGAACAAAGCTTTCTGTGTGCAGAGGCAGTTCAGGTGTCTGCACTGTACTCCAGGAATTAGGAGCATAGACATACAAGGTACAAAGTATTCTCCGTGGTTCTACACAGGACCAGCGTTTGCGTCCTGGTTGCACTCATGTCAGACCTGTGCTGATTACTAGTGGAGTTATTTTTCTTGCTGTTGCTTGACGGTGTCCTGGTTATCATCAGGACTATCAGCTCAAACATATGTACTGCCACCTTAAGGATGGTACTCAGATTCTTGTCCTGCATTCATCTGAATTCTGGAGCACTGGGAAGCTTGGGGTAGAGGTATGGGGTAGCTCTGTGGAAGTCAAGCCAGCACAGTCAATGCTGAGCAAGACTAAAAGCACAACTAGACTCAAGCAACTTCCTTTTGGAGATTCTACAATGGCTTCGCATGGCATTTCCCGGTACCCATATTATCCTGTTTTACTGCTTCAATGAAATATCTCTGCTCCCCATTGTCTGCATAATGGAAAGTTTATGATGTTGCAGCAACGGGTCATTGCCTTACCACAAAACAGTATTTGCTTGGATAGACTGATTGTACATGACAGACAAACTTCGTGACGGAATCGGAAGTTTATGAAACTTCCTAACTCTCTTGCCTTACATTGAAATTGTAGCTCTCAGTCCCTTCAAGCCTTCTGGTTACTTTAAACAATCAGGCTGAATTTTACCAACAGGTGCTGGATACAACTTAGGAAGTATTTCCCTCTCTACTGCCCCCGAAATATGTTTTTGGTAAAGTCTGTTTTGGCCAAAGGGAAGCTTTCACAGTGAAGTCAATGTTTCATCTTACTCCTGAATTAGGCTGGTGCAACTGCTTGGTTTATATGCTGTGCATACCTTTACAATACTGGATGTGTTTACTGTTTCTTCTTCTATCTCTGTTCCTGAATATAGTCTTTTCAGGTGAATATACAGGTGATAGGGTATGTGGGGGCGAAAAAGTAGAGTAAGAAGAACTGAGAACAAAAAAAGGAAGAGGAACTATATTATGTAAGAGGTTGACTTGAACTCCCTGACCCACAAAGTTGGAGAAGTTTCAGAATTAGGCAAAATGGATTTGTTCAGCCCTAATTACTGTTATTATAGTACCTAATATTAATGTTCCTACAGCACTTGGATACTGTTGTGTGCTACATACCATAGATAAGTTGTTATTATTACTACCTTCTAGGTCCATCTTGGCAGTGGAATTTGGGTAGATGAGGAGAAATGGCACCAGCTGCAAGTAACACAAGGAGATTCAAAGTATACAAAAAATCTAGCGGTTATGATTTGGGGAACAGATGTTCTCAAGAACAGAAGTGTCACAGGAGTTGCAACCAAAAAAAAGAAAGATGCCGTTCCCAAGCCACCTCTCTCACCTCACAAATTAAGCATTGTCAGAGGTAGGTTATTTGAAAACTTTTGCTTCCTGCTTTGGAGTTTAACTATTAATCACTGAGTTGAAAGATGCTTCTTTTCAGCTCATATAAAATTAACTGATTAAAAAAAGGTAACTCAAATTGCTATTGCATTGTGAAGCGCATACATATTCAGGCCAAGTACAACACATTGCAATAGCTGCGTGCAGTGCAGGCCTTCACAGCTGAAGAGTTGTACTGCAGTAAGGTTCAAGAAGGTCATCACTTTGAACCACTTGCAGGACAGGACTCTGAGCCTGGAGAACAACACGTTCTGGAATTCATTTGTAACACAGTGATTTTTTAAAAAAATGCATATATTCTTTTGAACAAGCCTGAGAGTAGCTTTACCACATTCTTTCATCCAGAACGTAACCAACTCTGGCATGAGGCACAGAAACCATTATAGCTGTGACTATAAAAATACGCATACCTTTAAAGGCGAGAAAGAATAGTGTTACCCTTCGAAGTGGAGAAAATGGAAACAGTAAAAATTAATTGTTGCACTTGAACTGGAATTCGAACAGGAAGTGTAAATCGCTGACCTATCCAGCAGGAAAACTTGCAATGACACTTCCCGTAACTGCAAGCCTGAGTCCATGTGTGTAGTGCTTTGAGAGAGAGAAGGCCTTCTCCTTTATTTAAAATGAATAGTGAATTTCAGTCCCTTTGTATCATCATGCTTGTGTTTTGCATTCATTTCTGTCTCTCTTGGTATCTCAGGCTTTTTTTAAGTCAGAACTGAGTCGGTTCCTCATGGAATACGTATTGAAATTGGATTTTTAGGTTTTGTGTCCGTACTAAATTGCAGTAGGGCTGAAAGAAATCTCCCAATTTGATTTAGCTTCATTATTCTGTATTTCCTGTTCTTAGTTGCTATGTGCTCTTAACTATGAACTATTTAAGAGCTGTTGTAATCTGCCTTGCAAGTACCGTGTTTTGGAAGTAAGAAATATGATTCTAGTTTGAGTGTGTCTGTGTTGTGTGGGGAGAAGTTGGAAACTGATCTTCGTACTGTCATCATTCTTAGTTTGTATGAAGTGAGTAAAAGACATGGTTGTGGGATTTTTTTTAATAATTTGCTTTAAGAATGTATGTGGAAGCGCAATACTGATTTTTCTAGTTCTGGCTGGGACGTGGTGCAATCCTAAAACATGTAGTAAGGTAATGCCACGTAAGGAACCCACTCTGTGGCTGTGGCTACCCTTGTCAGCTCTGAATGGGAAACAGAATTGGCTACCCAGATGCACACTTACAAAGATGCAGTAAAAAGGGTTATTTTTCACTGGCCCGCTGCAAAGAGCTCTCTAGTCTCCCTGCTGGAGGCTGTTGCTCCTCAGCACTGCTGGCAAGGTTGCCTATGTGAGAATTTCTTCTTCTGTGTCAGTGAGGGCCAGTCTGTGTTACCTGAGCCATTTAAATGATAGCTTTCTTCTGACTCCCCTTGTTTTGACTACACTGAGTTTGGGAGTGCCCTCCAATGGGTACATGGTGAGAGGCAGATGGGGCCCTTCCCTTTCTTCTCTTCCGTACCTTCACACTTTCCAGCAATTCAGCTCTTCCCAATTTCCTTGTTTTTCTGTGTCTTCTGTCATACTTTGCTTCCAGCCTCAACCCTCATTTGAATTCTACCGTTCCACTCCCTGGTTTTCCGTGTTCCACTTTTCCTTGTCTTTGTCTTTTTTTTAGACTCAAGACTGTACAGTCTCCTCTTGAACCATTTAAACTGCATGGCCAATGTTTTGGGTGGCAGTAGACAGCCTTCCTGTCTCAGTGGTAACTGGGTAGCACGTAACCGTGATTGTCCATGTTGTTGTGTCCTTTGCATTTGCATCAATGGTAGCAGGTCTTGCCCCATCATGCCAGCGTTCCTGGAAAGCTGGAAGTGATCAAATAAGAAGTTAGTACATTATGGAGAAATGGGGAAGAAAACAAACAAACAAAAAAATTAGTAGCAAGTGGACAAACAGTGATAGAGTTAGAGTTTGCGTGGCCAGTAACTTGGATCAAGCATCACAGATAGAAGTAAAGCTCCTTGTTAGGTCTTTGAGGTCTACTTGAATTTTTGGTCCAGTCAGAAGTACGAAGAGGTATCTGTATGTTCCTCTAAAGCCAAAAGACAATGAAGAAGCAGAACCCCCAAATCACTCTTTGGAGCCCCTAAGCCAATATCCGTATGTGACTACTAAACTGCTATTTCTGCAGTCCCTCGTAGAAATGGAAGAGGAAAAACTGTGATGGTCATGGATCTGTCTAGGTCACACTGACTTTAAGAATCAAAACTGATAAATGAGTTCTGTCAAGTGATTCTGTCCTTGACATTGTGGCTAAAGTAATAACATAGCCTGGATTTTACTGGAAGTTCACCTTACTAGGTGTAGCTGCTGCAGCCTGGGAGTATTCCTGAGCTGCTTGTTGTACAAGGTTATGTCCTACAAACACACAGGGTTTCTTCAGGTTCTCAGTGACATGCCGCCTCTTAGGTATTGTATTTCAAGTCGTAGTTTACTGAAGATCAGCATTTCAGCTGTCAGGCTGTATGCTGATTAGTTTTATTTATTCTACATTCAGGACATCATACAACATAAAATTCACATTGTTTTAGATGTTCTTATCATTCTGTTGACACAGACTAACTTATTTCAAATAGATGTTTGAGCAACATCATAAGTTCTTAATGTGTCTGATATCCCTAGCTTCTTTAAAATCCCTACTCTATAGTATGTAATAAAGAAATTATAAAAAGTATGATGCATAAGCACTGTTATAAACCTTGTCAATGCAAAATAACCTTTTATAAAACTTCTGAGAGGTTTCAAAATGAACTACAAAGCATGCATAGTACTTAATTTTCATAACTTTTTAATATGACGCATTCGAAACGTTATAAACCATGTTAATTAAGCGATAATCTCTATGGCTTTCTGCATATGAAGCAATAAATGGCTACTGGAATAGATTACTAGGCAAAGCAGAACAGAGTTTGTTTAATCAGTCTGGGAAACCTATACAAAAAAATATATTCTTCTGGTTATGAAAACAAAAAAAAACCCCAACCTGCCTGTCACTAGGGAGTTGGGTGTATTGCATCACCTCTGATTTCAGTAACCTCTGCAGGATTCTGGCACCAAACTACTGACTCTGTGGAGCGGAATTGTCTCAACTTTCATTGCCCTCATTGCTTTTGCAGTTATTGCTTGCTTTTTGTGTTCCAGTTAAGTTCACAAAATGTATCGTGCAAACGTGCAAGAAGATGGCTCTGACCCTGAATAATCTACTAATAAAAGTGAAATACACCCAGGGACAGGGTGTCCAATAAAGATACAGATATTAATGTATGTTGAACAGATTAAAAAAGTTAAATAAATCAGTCAATGTCTTCTCTTACTGGTTACTGCTTCTCTTCTTGACTGTTATCATTCACTTACCGTCTCGAAGGTGTGATGGTGGGAGCGACTCACAGGGAACTGCAGATAACAACAGTTCTAGTGAGACTGTTCACCTGGGAGGAGATTCTAAATCTGTTGTGGAGATACAGACAAATCAAGAGTTAGGCAGGCAAGGCTGACACTAAAAGTTTGAAATTAGCTTTGTTTCTGCATAAAAAGCCTATTAATGTAGTCACAGCGTAACTGGAAATTGTCATGCCAAAGGTTCAAGCCTGGTGAAAAATCTTGTCTTTAACAAGATAGCCAGTGAATCAATGAAAGCTTCTGTTGTCTTGCAAGAAATATACACAGTGCTTACTCAGTGTTGTCTCTTGAGTTGTTAGCCCAACTCAGGGCTGTATTCTTTTCTAAAAATATCCTAATGGCTCTTTTCTCTTTTTTTTTTTTCTCCCCAGAATGTTTGTATGATAGAATAGCACAAGAAACTGTGGATGAAACTGAAATTGCACAGAGACTCTCCAAAGTCAACAAGTACATCTGTGAAAAAATCATGGATATCAATAAATCATGTAAAAATGAAGAAAGGAGGGAAAGTGCAAAGTACAATTTGCAATAAATTTTGGATTTTTAATAAAGTCTTAGTGTTTTACTTAAGTGTTGTTCTTTTTTATTTGTGTGGCGTTTTTGCTGGTGGGAGAAACTGTTTTGAAGCGTTACTCTCCTCCTATAACTGATACATTTTTTGAGCCGTTCTGTCAAAAGCCTTTCTATGGTGTAACCTGCTTTTAAATAATGTAAGATATATTGTAAGTCCATCTACAATGAAAAAGTGACTTTTCAAAGGTTTTTTGCAATGAGTTGCAGTATGTTACCTGCAGTTCTGTATATAGGTTGTAATAATGTGAACACCAACCCCTTTTGCCTACGTTTTGTTTTACTGGAGTTAGTGGATCTAGGCTGCATTAAACATCTACTTAGAAGGAAGAATTGTACAAAATCCACTTTGCTATTGAAAAGAGTTTTATTGTATTTTACAAAGTGTTTTTCTGAACTGAAATTTTAATCGTTTGTTTTTATAAACCTTTGTTTTGATCTTTAACAATATATTTGGTCAAAAACACACAAAGAAAGCTTCTTTTTCACTTATTATCTTGTAGTTGTATCACCATTGCTGTCATAGTTAAAAAAAAAAACCAAACACAAAAAAAAACCCCAAAAAACAACAACAACAAAGAACCCAGAGCTGTAAGTTGTAAAATAATGATAATTTATTTAAAAAAAAAAAATAATCAGAAAGCAGTTCATTTTCAGGCACTAAGGCACTGCTCATATTTCTGGTTATGGTACAAAGCTCTTCAGTTTGTCCATATTACTGTTCTTGAAACATTATGGTTTTAGTGTATTTTTATTTTCAATTGATTTAAAGATTGCCACACTATGGCAAGATTATGTATAATGGAAAATTTAGTACCATTTCATCTCAGTCCATGATTTAACGATGGATGCTTTTAGCACAAATTTAAATCAAAAATAAAAATCATTTTAGACATTGAAGTTAGATTTGCAATGCGAAGTTATAAGGAATAATTTGTTGTGGGTCTGAATTATACCTGATTGTAAGTGAAAGAAAATAGCCTTAAGTCTTGTTTCACAAAGGATTTTGGGAATAAGGTTTGTAGAGGTCTGGGCTGATCAATTTTGAGGATTTGTTATATTAGTGATCTTAGTTAATATTCCATTTATTTTCCGCCCACAGATGTGATTATCTGCCTTTCAGGCTCCCTGTTCCTCAGTATCAGCATTTGTTCCTTTTCTACCACTGAAGTTTTGCTTCCTGTAGTTTTGAAAGACGTGCCGTTTCTTATCATCTTCCTGTAGCGCTGCTATACCCGAACCTTAAACCTGTTTCAGTGTCCTGTACGCGTAGATAATGTCAAAAGAGCAACACAAGGCTGGGGTGGATGGGGGAAAGAGGGGAAGGGAGAGGAGGAGGCGAGCTAGAACCGCACTGCCTGTTTTAGAAGAGATGGAGAAAAACACCATGTTGTCTCCTCCTGTACACCACATGCGCTTAAATGATGTCTTAATTCAGGGTGTTATTTGTTTTATGCTTTCTAAAGTGCAATGTCACGATTGGCTTGTGCCGATCCGAGTATGCTCTGCTGCCAAACGGGTACACCCTGCTTTCGCGGCTCATCTCTGCATTACTGGCCCTTCCCTTAAGCTGGCACTTGTGTCTGCGCAGATGTGTCAGATCTCCCAGATTTCCAAGGGTTGTTCGTTTCGTTAAGGGCTGGTGCCAATAGGATGAGGCCGGGGAGCATCTCTGGCGAGGGATGGGAATGGAGGAGTGTCTTTTTACGGTGGCTTATGTGTATTCTGAAATCGCATTTAACAGCCTGGCTTGTCTCCTGTTAATCTCAAAGTGTTCTTAGGTAGTGTTTAATGAAGTGCATAAATGTTTATGCTTCCTAATTTGGGATGCTAAATAGCAAATTAGGGTTTATAATATCATTGCATGTATCCTTTTATTAATTAAAGAACAAAATGGAGATAACATTGAAAAAACACTTAAACAGCAAGTTCCCACATTTCAAGCAGACTTGTGAATGTACAATTATTTTTCTTTTAAAGTGCTATTAGGACAATCCACTAGTTTGGGGGAGAATGTCCATAATTTCCTCGGTCTTTTATGGCTTTAGTACTAATGTGTTTTCATTGTAACAGATTCTTTAATGAGCAGATCATGCTGCACTTCTTGGAAGACAAGCCTATTTGAGACAGCATTTTATGAAACCTGGGAAAAGCAAATTAGAATTTAATTAGAGTTAGGACTCCAGCCTGGCCCCCAAAATCAGAAATTCTGTCTTTCCACAAAACCAGCATCATCTTTCTAAGACTTCTCCTTGACAAGCTTGTCCCATCAGATGTTAATGCTGCATAATGCTGAATATTTTGAATTTTCTATTTGGGGAAGGTATCTAGGAAGTCTTCATTCATTTCTTCCTGGAGTTGCTATCAGCCCAAGTCCAGCACACAGTTTTTAGCAGAGTTGAACAGGAGTATTTGGCTGGCACGGAAAGGTTTGCTTCCCTTTGAAGTGTAGCATTGGGGGAGCGTGTGGTAATTCTGGGTCCTTTGGACTGGGCAACTGGCATTTAACGTGGGCGTCACCTGAAGCTTGTTGAGTTATGGTAAATGAATAGGATGTATTAAAGGTAATATACCTCTGTATTCTATTATAACTTGGACTAAGTCTTTGGATTTCTGGAAAAAAAGTTTTTGCTAATGATAAGCCAGTTTTGCACACTGTAGTTGTAAAGCAATGCTCGGAGGGCTCTGCAGTGGATATCAGGTGTGTATGAATAACACCTTTACAAGTAGATTTGGTCATTCTCTTGTCTTTTCCCTCCCCATGAACCCATATGAAGCCTGTACAAGTCTTTCCCAGTGTGTCTGTTCCAGGCAGGGAAATAGGCTACACTTGTCCTGTGCTCCAGCATTACCCGAGGAAAAATACAAACTTTAATGGGGTGCGCTTTGCTGTGTTGAAATACCGATGTATAAATTAACTGGGAATTTCATTTCACTGTGTTATACTGCACTTACGGCCAGTGCTGTTCTTGTTGGTACGTTAATTCTCCCTAATTGTGCCTGCCTGTACCTAGTTTTGCTTTGGTCATAACGCGTCTGCCATGAATCTACCATAGGAAACTTTATGCGAAAATAGCGCCCACTAACTTTTTCCTACTCTAGCTTAGCTTCATACCCGTACGTCATGTGAAACAGGAGAAAATTTTGACACAAAATGGAGCAAGTTTAATTACACTCTAATATCCCTTGTTCGTCGTTCTAAGCTTTGCGCTGTGCCGTTACTTCATACTTGTAAACCTGGATTTGTAATATCAGAAAAACAGATTTAAGAGGAACTGACTTTTTGTCCGGAGAGATCAATGCATGCTGTTTCCTTCTCTTTTTATCAAAGAAGGAAGAAGGTATTACTGTTACATGAATAATCTCATCCTTTGTTGCCACACATTGCTATTGTAATTTGTGATATTCACGACCTGATCCATATTAAAGTGCCTCTGGCACACTTGCAAGGAAGCAAGATTAGAGTGAACAAGAAGGGCTTTATTTTCTATTAATGATTTTATAAGGGAAATGAGCTATTATATTAAAGGAAAGAATCCTACCAGAGATTTTAATACCTCAGTCAAGATGTCTAGCCACTCAATTAAGAAAAGAATGCTAGTATTTGTTAGAGAGGAAAAAAAAAACCTGTTAAGTACTGCTGTTACAGAAGAGGTTTGGATTTAGTGATGCTTCATAGAGATGGGAGATTTTAATTTTTTTTTTAATACAGCCAGGCTAAAGTACTTATTTAGTCATGTCAAAGTTGAACTATGAGTAGAAGGAATTTAAGGTTGCATTTGGTTAGCTGTTGAGCATGCCTGTCAAAAGAGCGTACGATCTCCCAGCGGGAGGTCACTTCTTAGCACCATACCTTTGACGCCGTGTCCAATAGATTACTACGATGCTGCTTTGCTGTCTTAAACATAGATTATTGACCTCTGGGAAGTTTCAACTAGCGATAACTTGAACTTTTTTGGATTTAGTGAAATTGTGAAGACAGTTCAACTACATACTTCCAGAATGAAGTAAAGTTTTAAAAAATAAAGCTAAGTGCAGGTAATTGTTAAAATAATACTGTCTTGATGCAAAACCTCTAAGGAGTGAGAATGTTCTGAGCTGGGAACACCCTGTATTAGCTGTAGCCTCACTGTGTGTTAGCTGCATTTGTAACTCCTGAGAAACCCAAATTTTGCCGGTTTCTGAAAGGGAAAATAAGGTTGTGTCACGTGGAGCTGTACCAAGGATTATTTCAATATTCCATCTTTCGGTGTGAGAATGGCCACTCTGCAGAAAGACAGAAAGATGAAACTTGTGCTTCTTCAGAATGAGGTGGTAGTTTTCTCACTATTTTTGAAAATATTTGTCATTCTGTGCGTGCCTTTAGTCTCGAATTGATGAAGTCATAACATCAGTTGCTTAGGCTTTATTGGTGTCATTATTTTCATCGTAACAGTGTGGAACTGCGAAGTGATTCATACAACACTGAGGCAATAAAAATGTTATAAAGTGCAATCATTGCATGTTTCATGCTCAGTAGCTAATTTTTAATTTCACCATCTTGGAAGCTTTTTCATCCCCTCAGGCTTCCTAAATAGGAAAGGAGAATCATGTGGACTTGGAAAACAGAACAGTGATTCAAAAAGGAATTAATTTACTTGATTTGCTTTACTTTTGCAATTATTTTTGCTGTTTATGTTTGGACAATAACTTTCATTCCATGCATCCGATACCCACTCGTTCAGTCCTGCAGTGAAATCACAGTCTGGTGGTTGTGACATCATTTGTTTACCAGAAAGAGGAAACTACCTCACCTATGACATCAGACAAGTTGCATTATGTCTGGATCAGACCAGAGGTGAAAGTGAGTCTGGGAGGAGAGGAAGAAGCTGAGCCTGAAGGGTTTTTTTCTGTGTTACCTTCTGAGTAGAAAACGTCCTCCTACAAAGGAGATGATTTCCTCCACATTTAGCAGAATAGCAA